TTGCTGTAAAATACCATGAAATGTAAGGTAATCTAAAAACATCTAAAGACGCTGGGGAGTGCACAGCTGCGTAGTAGATCATAGCTTGGTGGCGAGTGAAAGCTAGAACAATAGGCCAAGAATGTCTGGAAACCCAAATGAAACATGTAAGCTATGGAAGGGGCAGGTGAAAAGCTTGCTGTAAAATACGGCTAGATGCAATGCACAAACCAGAAGCAGAGAGGAAAAGAAGCTCTGAGAATGTTTGGCATGTCATTTGCAGGCTGTTTGCATACTTCGACATACGTCAGATTGTTTTTTTTGCATTTTTCCTGTGACAAAGGAAAAATGTAAGCTTACATTTTTGAGGTCCAAAAAACAAAATGTAAGCTTACATTTTTGAGGTCCGAAAACATAGGAAAATGTAAGTGACATTTTTGGACGTCCCCCCCTCTTAATTTGCGGCGATGTTCCGGGACACTCTTGTGGGACACTCATACGGGACACTCTTGTGGGACACTCTTGTAGGACACTCTGGTGGGACACTCTGGTGGGACACTCTTGCGGGACACTCTTGTAGGAAACTCTTGTGGGACACTCTTGTGGGACACTCTTGCGGGACACTCTTGTAGGAAACTCTTGTCGGATACTCTTGTAGGACACTCTTGTGGGACACTCTTGTGGGACACTCTTGTGGGACACTCTTGTAGGGAACTCTTGTGGGACACTCTTACGGGACACTCTTGTGGGACACTCTTGTAGGACACTCTTGTGGGACACTCTTGTGAGACACTCTTGTGGGACACTGTTGCGGGACACTCTTGTGGGACACTCTTGTGGGACACTCTTGTAGGACACTCTTGCGGGACACTCTTGTGGGACACTCTTGTCGGAAACTCTTGTGGGATACTCTTGTAGGACACTCTTGTGGGACGCTCTTGTAGGACACTCTTGTGGGACACTCTTGTAGGGAACTCTTGTGGGACACTCTTGTGGGACACTCTTGTAGGAAACTCTTGTGGGGCACTCTTATGGGACACTCTTGTAGGGCACTCTTGTGGGACACTCTTGTAAGAAACTCTTGTGGGACACTCTTGTGGGACACTCTTATAGGACACTCTTGTAGGACACTCTTGTGGGACACTCTTGTAGGACACTCTTGTGGGACACTCTTACGGGACACACTTGTAGGACACTCTTGTGGGTCACTCTTATGGGACACTCTTGTCGGACACTTTTGTGGGACACACTTGTGAGACACTCTTATGGGACACTCGTGTGGGACACTCATATGGGACACTCTTGTGGGACACTCTTGTAGGACGCTCTTGTGGGACTTTTGTGGGAGACTCTTGCGGGACACTCTTGTAGGAAACTCTTGTGGGATACTCTTGTAGGACACTCTTGTGGGACACTCTTGTAGGACACTCTTGTGGGACACTCCTGTAGGATACTCTTGTAAAACACCCTTGTGGGACACTCTTGTGGGACATTCTTGTAGGAAACTCTTGTGGGACACTCTTGTAGGACACTCTTGTGGGACACTCTTATAGGACATTCTTGCGGGACACTCTTAAGGGACACTCTTGTGGGACACTCTTGTACGAAACTCTTGTGGGATACTCTTGTAGGACACTCTTGTGGGACACTCTTGTAGGACATTCTTGTGGGACACTCTTGTAGGGCACTCTTCGTTCGAGACTTCCCCCAAAAGTCACATGTCAAGTCTCCCAAACGAGCGTTTCGTACGAGACTTCCCCCC